GATCAAGAAATTGGAAAGCAGTTCAGCTGCAGATGCCATGGTTGTGAACGACTGATTGATCGTTTTCGGTTCTTTGAATTGTAAATAAGTTGAAGAGAAAGGTTAGTGTTGGTTTGTCTTAATTTTAAGGTGTTATCGAATGGAACAAAGTTATCAGAGTTTATCGAATGGAAATTGCCAGACAACAGAAGAATTATGTCGAACAAACAGATGTAGGGTCGCAGGCAGAGGCACTTCACATGACAATTTCTTCACTGTAGCCGGCAGCATATGTAAGGTTACACCATACGTCAAATTTGTTACATATGCGCAATATGGTTCGGCTGATGACAACAAACGCATATAGTTTGGCAGACGACAACAAACTCACTAAGTGTTTGACAAAATATTTCAGTGAATAAACTGAAATTTTTTGTCGGCTCTATTTCTATTAAAAACTTAAATCTTATAACACTGGGACTTCTCAAGGTTCGAATTTTGAATTCGTTACTGCATAATGCATGCTCAACTACGGATTTCTCACATCATCCTGTTAAAAGAAAGAAGAAAAAGAAATACAAATTTCGTATGTCTTACACTACATAAGTCATGAAACTTAAAGTTCACAAAGGCTGAGGCATTCATTCGTTAATTTATGAATGCTAATCTTCCTCCTATTAGGCTATCTCCTATCATATCCTCAAAAAATTAGACTCCCTAAATCTTTTTTGGCATAAAGACTATTAGAATGAATAACTCATTAGATTTACAAGGGTGCGAAACTACGTGACAAAAGCTTATGTAAGGGCACTTGGACTATGTGATCGGTAAGGATTTCGGACTTTAGAGGATTTGGTTTTGCTCGCATTTTAAATAGACGCTTAATTATGATTCCGATCATATTAAAGCTCATCAATAAGTGTACAAAAATCATCAGATAGACAATACTTAAACTCTCACAAAAGCATGAGATTTTATGTATTTTAGTCTCATCCGACTCCACACTAGTCTCACTCAGTATAAAAGTTATCCTAATTAGACAATCAAGCACAAATTTTTCTCATGCATCAACCTTACCTAAGACTTTAATGTAAAATTTGGGTTTGATAATTTGCGATTGTAATTAGAAAAAGCCTCCAAAGTGCTAGACTCCACATATTAGAGACTTGTTCACTAAGATGCAAGCAAGTCACATCCTGGTTGGTCTTTTTCATGTCCGATTGGCATTTTTGTCCCACTAATTGTGGTATTATCGTATTGTCACGAGATTAATGTTTGACATGGTTTTAGGATATTGTACTTTTTGGATGTATTCAATGGCTAATCAACCCCAGCATCCAATAATTCTGCCCCTTTAGCCTTTGGAGCCTAATCAATCCAGCTGACAACCGTGCATCAATAATTTATGTGTAAACTTGATAAAAACTACCAATGTGATTATGATTTTTCTTTATATCGTCGGAGAGATTTGAACTCATAATTTTTATGATAAAGTGGAAATAATAACATCGTTTTAACACGTAAAAGTGAGGGCATCCATATAACGAAAATCTTATATATATGGGTGCGTTTGTTGCCTTTACTAGCTTTTACTATATTGAACTGGGTTAAGTGTTAGTGTAGTCATGTGTTTGTTATCGCATGATCTAACTTTAATGGGACTAGAAGGTCTTACCTTGACTAAACGCCTCATTAGACGGTCTTAGCGAGACTCTCGGAAAAGCAACGGACTGCTAAGACAATCGTTTCGTCTTCGTTTGCTTCGCCTCACCAAGTGAAATCCAAAAAGAGCTTTAGATTACAAATACCTTGCAACTCAATTTATTAATAGTAGTACTTACATGACTTGTGTTTGATTTTCTTTTCTATTCATTTGATGGATCGTATAATTAAGCGAATACTTATTTAGTACTATAGTGCACCAAACAACTGCTACCTTATTATTAATCCCGCAACTCAACTCTCTCCGCCACTCCACTAATCCTGCCACCGCCAAATCAAACACCCATCTGGTCCAGAGAAAAACGACATAGAGGGGCCCCACGCGATGCCTCTCTTAGCTGGGAGGCATGAGAAATGAGGGGACGGTGTTGGTACAATAAACTGTAGTAAATAGTGCCAAATTACGCATTTCCCCATGCAAAAAAACTATTACCCTGCTTTGGTAGTCCCCTTCATTTATTTTTTTTCTCCCAAACACAAATTCCCTTTCAATTTTTCAATGAGACTTTCTCTTTCTGTATTTATTTATTTTTCCTCGCGGCAAAAATAAGGATTTAGGAAGAAATGAAGGAAAAATGTGATTGTCCAAAAAAATAAGGGAAAATAAAAAATATGGGTTTAGGAAGAAATGGAGGAAAAAGGTAATTGTCCAAAAATTAAAAAAAAAAAAAGATTTAGGAAGAAATGAAGGGAAAATGTGATTGTCCCAAAAAAAAGGGAAAATAAAAAAATAAGGGTTTATGAAGAAATGAAGGAAATATGTAATTGCCAAAAACAAGAAGGGAAAATATGGTAAAATTGCACATTCTCTTGTTTTGAAAAGGAAGAGGAGGGACTATTTAGGGCTGGTTTGGCATTGCTGTGCTTTGAAAAAAAGCTGCTGTGAGAATAAGCGGCTGTGCTGTGAGAATAAGCGGCTGTGAAATAAATCAGCAGAGCGTTTGGTAAATTTTTTTGTAAAAAAGCTTTTGGAAAAAAAAGTAGTCTGATAGTGGGTCCTTTCATTAAAGGAGCACTGTAGCTCCATGTGCTTTGAAAAAAAGCCAGTTTTCCAAAGCTACAAATAGCAGCTTCAGCTTTTTCCTTTGATTTCAGCTTATTCTCACAGCAGCTTCCAAAATAAGCCTTTTTTTTCAGTTTACCAAACACCTAAAACCCTCACAACTTTTTTTCATAGGTGCTTTTTTTTTTAAGCACCTCACTCCCAAACTAGGTCTTAGTGTGTTCACCTTATTTCATTCGAGTTTGAATTTTCTCATATGTAAAAGTTTTAGTAGATTAAAACATTTTGTAAAAACAATAATTGAGAAAAAGTTTTTTTTATTTTTATTTTTATGCGCAATATGAAAAGGCAACAATAATTGAGAAAAAGTTTTTTTTATTTTTATTTTTATGCGCAATATGAAAAGGCAACAATAATTGAGAAAAAGTTTTTTTTATTTTTATTTTTATGCGCAATATGAAAAGGCGGTTATGTCACATCCCGACCCAGGCTCCCACCATATTTTGGACTTGACTCCACCGTAGCACGATATTGTCCTCTTTGGGTCCCGACCACGCTCTCATGATTTTGTTTCTGGGAACTCACACGAGAACTTCCCAGTTGGTCACCCATCTTGGGATTGCTCTCGCGCGAACTTACTTAACTTCGGAGTTCCGATGGAACACGAAGCCAGCGAGCTCCCAAAAAACCTCATGCTAGGTAGAGATGGGAATATACATATAAGGCTTACAGGATCCTCACTCCTAGGCGATGTGAGATCTTACAATCCACCCTTTTAGGGGCCCGACGTTCTCGTAGGCACACTTCCTGCCAGAGATTGGATATGATACCAAATTGTCACATATCGGCCCCGGCCCCTACCACATCCCGGGCTCGACTCCGCCGTAGAACGATATTGTCCGCTTTGGGCCCTGACCACACCCTCACGATCTTGTTTCTGGGAACTCACACGAGAACTTCACAGTGGATCACCCATCCTGGGATTGCTCTCTCGCGAACTCGCTTAACTTCGGAGTTCCAATGGAACTCGAAGTCAATGAGCTCTCAAAATATCTCGTGCTAGATAGAGATGAGAATATACATATAAGGCTCACAGGATCCTCATCCCTGGACGATGTGGGATCTTACAGGTTATTTATAATATTAAGTAGATTTTGCATTCAAAGTTTGGAACACGTGAAGTAAAGTTAGTCATTTATAGTTTGAGGTACGTTATGTATAAAGCGGTGAAACTAACTTTTCATATGTGGCATAAAATATTTTGCATACAAATGTAAATAGATTATAAGGAAAACTAATGAAAAATACTTGAAAATTTTGAGTTTTAACGATAAAGACAAAATAAAGGGTAAAGTGAATAGTATTATAATTGACTTTTTAGTGTACAAATATGGTTTTTCGTTAAAGTGAATAGTACCATAAACTTTTCGTTAAAGTTCCATAGATTATATGGTCAAAGTCACGAACATGGTTTTGACGCGTGCTAAAAGTCGATTATTTATAATCAGGCATAAATTTCATTTTACAAATCCGAAGTGAAATTTTAGGACGTTAAGTAAATAGTTGATTATATGAATCTTATAACAAAAATTATTAAATTTTTATTTATCGATTACCCAATTTAATTCATCTTTTATATTTTTATAAAATATGTGAAATTACAGTTGTGAAATTTAAAGTATTAAAACAAGTAAAAAAATTATAACTAGACAAATATGAATAAATAAATAAATAAAATAATTATAATCTTAAATTAGTCTCTTGCTATGTGCCTACTTATCTGGCAATTTGGCAAATGACCTTTTTATTTACTTATTTATTTTTTATCTAATATCTCTATTAATTAATAAAACACTCATTGTCAACCAAAATCATATGAAATTACCAGTTTAACTTTCTAATTAAATCAGAATATGAATAAGAAATATGGGGTAGAAATGTAATTTCACACAACCAAATTTTGTTTTTTTTCTTCAAAGCATCACTTACATATAATCCTAACTATCTCTAATTAAACAAAAAAAACCTTCACACTCCCACATTCTCTATCACTCTCTTCCTCTCTCCTTCTATTTCAAAAATAAAAATAAAAAATTTTCTCACAGACTTTTTGTGTGTCACCATATGCTAGTTATATATTATTTATTGTTTTGCTTTTGGTTATTATTGTTTTTACACGAATATATTTGAGAAAATAATAATCTTATTAACCACCCACTGGTGGTTTTTTTTTATTTTTTACTTTTTGTGAATGTTTTTTAAATTATAGTTTTTTAAAATATATATCACACCTCTCTGTTTCTCAAGCGTCAGTAGAGTCAGTACGAAAGAAGCAGAGTCCCTCTTCATCTGATCGATTCCCTCTCTCTCTCTCCCTCGCATTTCGCTGGGTTTTTCGTGCAATGTAGTTCCTTCCTCCACACTCGAGAAGAAGCAGGGAAGAATCGAAGAGTAATGGCCAAGTGTCACCGAAACGACGTCGGATCCGTAGTCCTAGACCGCCCCAACACCACCTCCTCCGGCCATTTCTGGCTCTGGTCGTCCTTCTCCGGCGCCTCATTCCGTCGGAAAATCTTCCACGCCGTCAGTTGCGGCGGCAGCTCCCGCTACCGCCACCACGACAATGATGACGAGGCCGCTCCGATCAGTCCTCCGACTCCTTCGGCCACCGGAGTCACCACCATCAGATCAATCACAACCAAAACCACGACGACGCAGTCGCAGACGAATGTTAAAGAGGCGGAGAAGGCTGTGAAGCCGAAAGCGAAGTCCGAGAAGCTCTCGGATCTTCTGAACCTCGCGGAGTTTTCGGAAGCGGAAAACGACGCCGCGACGAAGGAGAAGGTGGAGGCGCTGGAGGAGCTGAAGCGCGTGGCGAAGGACCTGCAGGCGGAAGATGACTCGGCGAAGAGGAAAGAGGCGGCGAGCAAGGTTAGATTGCTCGCCAAGGAAGACTCGGAAGCCAGAGCCACGCTCGCGATGCTCGGCGTCATTCCTCCGCTCGTCGCCTTGCTCGACTCCGACGACGCCGTTTCCCAGATCGCGTCGCTCTACGCTCTGCTCAATCTCGGGATCGGCAACGACGTGTGAGTTAAAACAAACCGGAATAATTGGATTTTGATCTTCTTCTTTTTTTTTTGTTAATTAATCGTCTTAATCTCTCTCTGATTGTTCTTCGTGCATGCAATTTTTGGTTTAATCAGCTAATTAATCTTTGATTAATTCGTGTTTATGTTCTGTCATTTTCACGTTATCATGTTTTATTCTCCGTCATTTTCAATGTTCAGTAGATTTTCAACTGTTTTTGCTTCTTAAACGAAATTATTTAATAATTATTCTGAATCGTTCTTATCCTGTAGCTGTTGATAGTATTTGCAGATTTGTGAAATGAATGCTGGTTTGGTATCGCTGTGCCCTGAAAAAAAAAATGTTTTTATTGTGCTGAGAATAAACTCATTTTTACTGTTTCATGTGTTTAGCTTTTTTTCTCTTAAAACTCTGAAAATAAGTTTTTTTAAGTGTTTACACATTTTTTAGCTTAGTTTTTTCTTTTATACTCACTTTTTATAAAAGCAAGTCAGTATCAAACTAGTACTAACTGCTTTCTGCATAAGCACTTCTGTTGGGAGTGCTTATCTATGAAAACATTGTAATTTTTAGAGCTGAAATCCAAGTGCTTCAGTGCTTTTGAAGAATCACTTAGCTGCTTCCCTGACTCATAACCGTTTTATGCTTTTCTTATTATCACAACCATTGGCTTCAGTGACTTGATTACTCTCTGCATTTTTATCAAACGTGAATATAAGTGCTTCTCGACTCTAGTTGTAATAAAGCACTTTTAGGGCTTGTTTGAAATTTCTTTTAATTGACCTTAAAATGCTTTTAGAAAAAAATGTTTATTGGTTCCAAAAGTACTTGAAAGGTGCTTCATCTCAAGTCATTTTTCAAGATTCACTGGCATTTTTACTAAGCAGTAGTTCAAAAATATTTTCAACAAAAGTTTTTTTAGTCATTTTAAAAGCATTTTCAAACGAATCTAACTTTTTAAAGAAGCACTCCTAAATTTTCAACTTTTTTTGGTTATTTTCGCATCTGAATCGCGTTTACTGACACATTGTTTGAATTGTTTCATTCATTTTTTTTCTTTCCGATGTTGTGTAACTTGTAAGTTCATCAACGCTTTTTTGGACCACCCCTTTTCTTCAGGAACAAGGCTGCTATTCTCCAAGCAGGGGCAGTGCACAATATGCTGAAGCTAATTGAATCCCCAAACCCTCCAGACCCATCAGTTTCAGAAGCTATCATTGCGAATTTCCTCGGCTTAAGCGCGTTGGACTCAAATAAACCGATCATTGGAGCTTCGGGCGCCATACCCTTCTTGGTTCAAACCCTCAAGAATTCGGACAATGCAAGCAGCTGCCAAGCCAAGCAAGACGCCTTGAGAGCGCTGTATAATCTGTCAATCTTCCCATCCAATATTTCGTTCATATTGGAAACAGATTTGATCCCGTTTTTCTTGAATTCGCTCGGAGACATGGAAGTGAGCGAAAGAATCCTTGCAATTCTAAGCAACGTGGTGTCTGTCCCGGAAGGCCGAAAGGCAATTAGCAGTGTGAAGGATGCATTTCCAATATTGGTTGATGCATTGAACTGGAATGACTCGCCGGGGTGCCAAGAGAAGGCGTCGTACATTCTGATGGTAATGGCACACAAGGCGTTTGGGGATAGGCAAGCCATGATCGAGGCAGGAATGGTTTCGGCATTGCTCGAGTTGACGCTTTTGGGGAGTACGTTGGCGCAGAAGAGAGCCTCAAGGATCTTGGAGTGTTTGAGAGTAGATAAAGGAAAGCAGGTTTCGCAGAGCTTCAGCGGGAGGAGTATGGGGGCAGCGGTCTCCGCTCCCATTTGTGGGTCTTCATCGTCTTCTTCAAACCCGAATGTGGGTTCCAAGGAGTGCATGGAGGACGAGGAGGACACGATGAGTGAGGAGAAGAAAGCCGTGAAGCAATTAATCCAACAGAGTTTGCAAAACAACATGAGAAGGATCGTGAAGCGGGCGAATTTGCCGCAAGATTTCGTCCCCTCAGATCATTTCAAGTCGCTCACCTCGAGTTCAACCTCGAAGAGCTTGCCGTTTTGAGGGAATCAGAGCTGCCAAGGAAGATCTAGAGATTGAAAGTGAAGAATTTGTGAAGTTAGTAGTCTTGTGTTCCTACTTCAATTCCAACTTCTGGTCTGTTGTACCTTTTGTTAGTGTATGTATTTGTTCAAATATGTATAGTGATTGTAATTATAATCCGAGTAGAAGAAACTTCGGTAAAATTGTCTAATCAGTCAATTAGTTCGATAATTCAATATTAGTCACAAAAAAACGTGTATTGACACGTTATCCACCATCAACTTGTACTCCATAGTGTCGATATTCTCGATACTTCAACTACGCAACTGTCAATAATGTGTCCATATCTTTGTCAGCGAAAGGTTTATGTAGCAAGAAATCATGGGATTTGACTCAAGTTTTTCCCGTAAGATGATGCGATCACTTTCAATCGAGATTTTTCTCAGTGGCAAAGAAAGGAAAATGAGAAAATACAAGGGGTGATTTGGTCATAAAACATTTTTCTCTGAGCATCCCCGCAATCATGGGGTCAGTTTTCAACTCAGACTCACAGTACTGTTTTGTCCAACCCGTTGGACCCACCCAAAAATTAAAATTTGCTAATTTCACAATGAGATCCATTCAAAATTTCCATCGACCGAAGATTTGGACCATTCATTCAAGAGAGAACGACCATTCATTCAAGAGAGAATCAAAGATTCGGACCATTCATTCAAGAGAGAAAAAAAATCGGACTGTCCGAGTTTTTTATTGGGTAGATTTGGTCAATAAGATGGGCTAATATTGAAATTAAATGGTCCGAATTTCTCAGTCTGCGGGATCTAATCTTAAGTGAACTACTGATGGAAGGGTTGTCGGCCATTTCTAATGCATATGATGTAGTGACTATTCAGGACCTTTCTTTAAGCATCTGGGAATCTTTCCCTTGTTGTTTTTTGTAATTTAGGTTGAAAAAAAATGAATTTATTACATAATTTGCAGTAAGATCTCCTTCACTTCTCTCATTAGCTTAATACTGTATTAATTACCTTCTTAATTATGTATGATTTAACCTTGTTTACTGGTTTTTCTATTTAACAATTTATTTACAGATCTGAAGAGAAGAACGTGCAAATCAATAGCCATTCGTCATTAACGGAAACCATCGAGTTTTCGTGCTCAACTGATTTACACGTAAGGAGTTAAGTATTTTTTTCACATAATTTTCATGGCGGTGGTGGAGAGATTTTTTAGGGTGCCCAGAACACGAGGCGGTGCTCAATATGTTATTATAAAATTGGCGATAAGATTTTTTTCTTTTCAAATACTCCTCTACTTGTATAATAACATCTAACATTTGCACCCGTATTTTTCGATATACTAAAAAATCTCTGAGAGATTTTTCAGTGTGACCATCACACGGGATGATACACCACGTGTTGCTATATAAATGGTGAGATATGTTTATTAAAAAGTTAATAACTTAAAAAATAAAATTTCTTACCACTTACATAAAAACACGTGTTGTACCATCCGTATCCCGTGATAACTAAAAATTTCGTTTGATGGTGGGGTGACGAGCCTTTTAATTCTTGTCAATTTATTTTGGAATTCACCTCGGTATCTTTTGTTAGGAGGAGGATTCTCTACCATTCTATTCTCATCCCCTTCTATCCCCTTCTCTCACACATTGTATTTTATCTTATTATCTCTATAAAAAAATCAATATAAAATGTTGACGTGATTTAACTGTGACCGTTCAAATAGAAGAGCATGGAAGGGTAGAGAATCTTCTGCCCTTTTGCTATGTCCTTGAGTAACTTTCCATTTTTAACCAGTGTCCTTACTTTCCATTTTTTACCAGTGTCCTTTGTAAATGTGCAATAATTTGGTTGGCCCATCAATCGAAAGTTGAAGTAAATTTGATTTTATGATTTACCTTTATCCGTATAGTATTTTTCTAACTCAATTAAAAACACATGAGAGCAACTTACGTGAAACATGCTTCATCACTATGTGTATGTGACATTCCCAATTTAAAAACGTTATGTCAACAGAGAGAACTATGCATGGTGCAAAAAAACGCACATAATATTGTATTGTTGGACTAAAACACGCATGTATATATTTAGTTTTTTAAGTATGAACGATATTCTACTTCGAATCCATGTTAAGAAACAAAAGGCAAGTTTAAAAAAGAAGATCATAATCATCAAGACAACCCACCGCTCGCAGTCCACTAATACTTCTTTAGTACAAATGTATTTATTAATGGAGACGTGGGTAGGTTGAGCACTAGGGCCTCTGCAGCTTCTGGATTGACCAGCAAAGTATATGGTCTGATTTGAATTGTTTATAAATGAACACACAAACTGCAAATGCATGAAGGTGCTTTCCGGTGAAGGTAGGTCAAGATTTTAAATGCCATTACGTTTCTAGGCAATAAGAACCATTTATTACCAAAACAAGTTCACAAGAACTCCGGGAGGATCCTCGTCGGATCATTTGAGAATTCTGAGAACCCTCCAATTACATTCATTTATTGTACATTGTGCGGTCATAAATTATTGTAAAATTTTTATTTAAAATTAAATATAAACATTATTACTTGATAAAAACTGACTGCATGATGTACAATGAACGGAGATCCTCACAAAAGAGGATCCGGCAAGGATCCTCTCTCACAGGAACTGATCTAAAAATAGGGTTTTGCTATTAATTAATTAGTATTTAAGGTGTGTAAGTTGCATCCTCCCATGATAAGTGCAATTGATTTTTGGGTATAACCTTCTCAATCTACAACAAACATCACCTCCGTAACGAAGCCAAATACAGAGTTGAAATGATTTGTAGAGAATCTCGTGCCACCCAACAAATATCGATCACATAATGGCACAAAATGGTATATAGATTTTCGGTATGTCAAATAATTCGGTTGACATAATATGATAACGGTTTGCCATTTTATTATTGGACAATTTTTTTGGCCTAAATCTAATTATTTTTTAAAGGCAAACTCAAGTCCCAAAACGTTTTTTTTTTCTTCTCAATTTTGTGTTCTTTTAGCTCATATTTTGTAGCCTAAAAGTGTCATGAAATAAAATATTATTCATTCATCTTTATGGAAATTACTTTTTAGATAAAATTTAATTAATAGGAAACTGTTATTAGCACTCCAAAAATTTCATTTCACACTTTTCATTAGTGTTTTTTTTTTATCCAAGTATAGAAAGTTTGGAGTGCAAAATGAGATTTTTGGAGTGTCAATAACAATTTTCAATTAATATTAATTACAATATATATAAAATTATACATAATGTAATTATATAATATTGATTACATATGGTATACTAGCGTTGATGGTTTTGGATATCATTACGATAGTGAAAATGTATACTTTGGTACAAATACTATGTCCCTACAAATTGTTACAAAATTACAATACAAATTTGGTATGATACGGTTAGTAATTTAATTGGTATAGTAACTTGGTAAAATTTAAACCCCTACGTGGAGCTGTGAAGGGACACTTTCTACTTTCAAATGCGGGGAATTTTCAACATTTAATTTCAACCACCCAACTAATCAAATTTAAGTGTAATGCTGGGTGAACCAAATTTTTATACGAAATTTGAAAACCATATGATGTATCACCAATGGAAAATAAAAACGTCAATCAACACCTAAATGATAATTCAATCGTTAACAACCACGTCATATGGTTTATAAAATTTGATCAAAATAGTTAGTCTATGGTCTGGTTTGGTATTGCTGTGCTTTGAAAAAAAATTGTTTCTGCTGTGCTGTGAGAATAAGCTCATTTTTTCTGCTTCACGTTTTCAGTTTTTTTTTGACAAAAAACTGTGAAAATAAGTTGTTTTTAAGTATTTACCAAACATCTTTTTGAGTTTATTTTTTTTATACCCATTTTTTATAAAAACATCGTAGTATTAAATCAATACTATCTAGCATCACTCCAACCAAAGCTAAACTTTTTTAATATGCCTCCCGCCAATAATTGGCCGATATTTTAGTTGGGAAATCTTTTTTGAATGTGTAAGTGGTAGAGGGAGTAGTTTTAGTCACTATCCACCATTATTTTCCTTCCCAATGAGTACACTTCTAGTTCGATGTTAATTCCATCATTTGTCGAAAACTTCGATAGAGCCGCATGGTTAGTTCAGCTTTTATTCTGGTGTGGGATCGGCAGGGCCAAAACACACGTGGTTCATATTTTTTGTGGAAGGTGTCCTACAATTAACGTGATTAAGAAGCTAACTCAAAGTTTTTCTCAGCAGAGAATCTGATAAGACCAAAATACAGATGATCTATATCACCTCTGCCTAAATTTTTCTCATGTCACGTCATGTTTTTCCATTCTATAACAACGACAGGATTACCATGTAACTTTATAACTCAGTTAGTTAGAAGCATTCACTCGTAAAGGCCACGTGTTCGGCTCACCCGCCCTCCCAACTGTTACCATCGTTCATGTAAAAGAAGTGAGCGAGGACCACCAGCACATGTAAAACGTTGGCCCAACACATGGAAAAGGACGGTGGCGTTGAGAGCGATGGATGGGTTTACAACAAGAAGGTAACTCCTGTGGTTAAAGGCTTTTTCTTCAATCAAACTATGCACCCTGAGACGGTAGCACTTATCCAAAGTAACCGTATCGACGCGTCGCTTCGACAGTGACTAAAAACGCTTTCAGATAGCCAACAACGTTATAAGAACATTTAGCAGAAAAACTAAAAACGTCTTGTGAATTGTAAAAGCAGTAAGCGGTTTTTAGTGCTTTAAACACCTACCTAGTACTTCACCAGAAAACACTTAAAACCTTTGATAAATACGAGTGATCAATCAAGGTAGTGATTTTCGTACTCTTCTTTTCTCCCCATGCATTGCTTCATGTTTTTTAAACTTCTAGTATAATCAACGGAACAACGGAAAGAACAGCTAGAATTATTTGATTAATAAAGCAATGAAACACAAATACAGGGATTTACGAGTAAAAAACAGTATTAACGATATAAGGTAACAGATGGTAAATCTTAAAACATACTTTTCTTCATTAGAACATCCTACTATAACTGTTATGGGACCAGGTACCAGCTACCAAAAATTCCAAAGCCCGCATACCTGTTTTCATAGAGTTATTCGTCCTAAATGACCAACTTCTACTTAGTTTCGGTGACTGGAAGGTACACGCCTTCTGATGCCAACCAAACATTGTCAGCGCGTTTATCTTTCACACCACAAACCTGCATCATGGCAAATGGAATGTATTAGCACAGCTTTAATAATAAATCAAGGCATAAAGTTCAGCCGACACATTTCCAGACAACACAAATAAAATCGTCTACAACTGCCATAGATAGATACGACAATTGTAACATATTATTTCTTGCACATTTTAACATTCAGAAAGATTGTCACTAATGACTTTCAAGAAGATGAGTGAAGCAATCGTTTATGCTTAAGTTGAGACGCAGATTCATATTCCATTAAACTACAGAACTTTGTATAATTGCGGGATGACGAATACAAAATACGACCAGAAGATATCATTATCGACCGTAAGTTAATCCTCATCAGGACATCTAACTATCGAGTTTAGGACATAATTAATAATCAGCACCATTATCAACAATTCAAGCAAAACAAGTTAACAACATATTTGTAATTTCATTCTCATTTTCATAGAAATGTGGTTGAGTTTAGGTTATCTCACCTCCTGCTGTCCCCCAGCTATGCGGGTGTACTTCTTGTCATGACTATGTAGATAAGCACCTGTGTCAACATGCTGGAGTCGAACCCTTTGATCTTGCTTCCAGGTCTTCCCACTCCCTTCAATTGTCAGCCTACAAAATACCATACCAACACAATGCATCAGAAACACTGATGAGTGATGACCAAGACAGGCAAACTTTTTACGAACATATCAATTTGCCACTCACCTCCAGTGATCACCGGTATCAGATTCATTTTCTCCCCCGAAGCAGCTCACCTACATCCACATCAACTTATACAAGTCACTGAACCTAGTAACAATCCCAACCTCGTCCATACTCGGACGGAAAGAGATTAAACAGTCTACAAATGATACTCAAAAACTCCATAGACAAATCAAGTCACAAACTTTATGCCATTCGACGCGTCAACCCAATTCATAGTTACAAACAAAAAAGTAATCACAAACACAACCACACAAAAAATTTGGTAAGAAAAATAAAGATTTTCCAAACCTCTTGGTTGCTAGAAATGGGGGATGCATGCAAATGGCTGTGCAGCCATTTCCTAGTCTTCATGTGCTGCAACCTGATGATTGTCCCGCTCGGAATGCTATCGCCTTGCTTGGCAGAAGTTTCCAGCTCAGGTTTAACAATCTGCAAAAAACCCAGTTCAATATCTGCAACAAAACACCACCAAAGACACAGAGAATGCGAGAGAGAGAAGAAATTGACATACCCAGTAACTATTAGCGTCGTCGACATTGGGGAAACCAGTGACAGACTGCTGACCGCTACCAGAGCCATACGGCACGTCGTGTGAATGCAAGCGAAACTTGGTCTTCTCGTGCCTGAGCTTCAATACGGTGCCGTACGTGACCTGCCCAGATCCCATTTCATAGTATCAAAATCTCCAAACAAAACAAATAAAAAATCTAATCGGAAATGGGCGGCCGAGACGAACCTCAACGCCCTCGGCGGTGGAAGTGGTGGCTGCGTAGCCAGTGTCGAGATCATCGAGGTTGTAGATGAGGAACACAGCTAAGCAGAAGAAGCCTATCGCCATAACGAAGAGTAATCCTATGAACCAGTTCCGTTGCCAGATGGGGAAGTCAGGCTCCGAAGCCCGGCTGGGTATGATGACTCGCCCCACGACCCGACGCGGCTCGGCGGACGACGACGGCGTGGAAGAATTGGAAGGTTTTCTTCGCGTCAAACTCGGCGAGCCTGGAGGCGCCACCGTGAGACTTCCCTGAAAAGGGAATTCGAATTCTTGATTTGGGATTTCGGGGTTTCGATCTGTCACTGCGACTCTCTCTCTCTCTCTCTCTCTCTCTCTCGTCGTCTGTGATTTGTTAATGTGCCTGTTTTTCTGTACGGCGGACGCTGCTGCTGTGACATGTATTCAGCGAATGGGAGGTTCACACGTGGACGTTTGGATGACGTGGAAGCTTGTTAGTGGACGTATCGTGTAAGACCACGTTGCGGCCCAAATACTTCTAGCCAGCTTTGAAAGATTGGGCTGAGCTTTGTTGGGCCTGTTAATGGATTGGGTACGATTCAAGCCCATTATCTTTGGTACTCACTGCCCCCTAGCCGGCATTTTTCCCGGAGTGTTTTTTTTACTTTTTATTTATTTATTTTAAATTTTCTGCACCCACTCTTACGTTTAGGCTTTGATTTTTTTTTTTTATTAAAGAAAGCTAATAAAAAAATGTTTGAAAACTTTAAGTTTTAACAATAAGGACAAAATAAAAAGTAAGGTGAATAGTATCAAGATTGACTTTTTAGTTTAAAAATGTAATTTTTTTGTTAAAATTAACAATATTAAGAGCTTTTCGTTATTTTATTTTTTTTAACTAGTGTGTCGTAGATGAAAAAAATAATGTATAAATGAGTTTGAAATTGATTTACCTGTAACACGTAAAACCAAACTACACCAAAGAGTTTCAAATTCATTTATCTATAAACTCGAGGTGTTGCGTTGGTATCCCTCCACCCAAAATTTATTTTTTTACCGGTACATAAAAGCTCCAACTTTCTGTTTATACGCCACCCAAGCATGACATGCAAAATCGTAAATGTTACATGACTACTGACATGTTGCGATGTAACATAATATCCAATAGATTATAATTAAATTGATGAACAATACTCAGTCGCTCATGATTTACGTTAGAGCAACTCTATCTATGGAGCCTTCCTCCCTGGTAATCCATTATTTAATCCATCATATTGAAAAGTAACTGCCTTTAATGAATAGTAACTACCATTAATGAATAGTAATTACCATTAATGAACAGTAAATTGTCATTTACATCTCCACCCTTGGAGCCCTCCTCCCCCTGACAATAGGTAATAAAATATTAGTTTTTTTTGTTTGTTTAAATAATACAAAATAAAATTATTTGTAATTTCGGATAAGAATTTTTAAATCGTTCTCGTTGCGTCATGTGTCATTATGGTGTAAGGTAGATGGAGAATAAGTGGTATTTATAGAAAAGTAAAAAGAATTTTTTACAATTTTTTTCAGATTTTTTTCGGATTTTTTACATTTTAAAATTTTTTTTATTCAAATAATTAATCTCTGTCGTTGGATTTTAAAAAATTTGAATTCCAACACTCCAGATTGTGCCACGTGTCACAACTGTAACTTTTCTTAATTTTAAAACTATTTTTTTATTACCCTTGCATCGGACGGCTGGTATTTAACTTTTTGGGATCGAACGGACCGTGGGAAGCCACGTGGCTTCTCATCGGTCACTGGACATCTCTGCGCGCGTGGGCCCTGGCCCCTGATTTCCGGTCGGGTGACGTGCTCCCACTTGCGAGTGAGGGGCACGCACCTGACACAAAAAAAAAAAAAAAAGGCTTGGCCCTCAGGTTGCAGGCCCGTCGATTCCCCACCCCCCGGCCCTCAGGCTCCCACCCTCACTCGGGCTCTCCAAGGTTGGAGCATTGTCCACCGAGCCTCGGGCCCTTTCCTCTCCCTTGTCCCCCGAGCAATGTCCATGGGTGGACTTGCTCTTATGCTACAAACATTAAAAAAAAAAAATTGAATTAAGTTTCCAATTCTATAAATAAAATTTTCTTAATAATAGTTTTGGTAATAAAAGTTTCCATAATTGATATGTGTATATATATATATATATGTATATAGAAGTAGAACGACCTCCCTCCCTCCCTAATTACACATGATTTTTTATTATTCATCCCTTTTTCCCGCTTAAAATTTGTTACATTTATCTTTACTTATAAATTATAAATTTAGATCTCTTTACCCATATATGATATAGTTTTACATCTTAGCGCTCAACTAATAAATAGAGATTGAGCTTCAAATCGGAATGAGAATCTCACATAGTTATGACGTCATAGGCCCGTCGTATGATTGTTCCAATGATATATTCAATCAAGCAAGGGTAAAATAGTCACAATTGTTATATTTTATTTTAAATTAGTCTAATTAATGAGAAGGGATATTCGAACTCGGATGAGTAGCATGAAACATATTCATTCTAACTAATGCAGCTAGTCTTCTACGTGATGCAAATTTCGATCACAAACATTTAGGACTAAGATATTTGTAACAAATTTACTTTAATACGACAATATTAATTGAGTTAGAAAATTCGAATCAAATATTTTCAATAAAACTATAAACGCTCTTAATCACTTTACTTATAAATCTCATTGCATAAATCATTTCGACGAATATAATATAATATATTTCAAATGTCTATTCCTTTTTATCCACTTACCAAAAACTTCGAAAATTCTTTCGTTTTCAATAATTTATTCACTCGAGCAAAAAAAAAAAAAAGAGGGTCTTCCCAAGAAAAAGGGAAAGCAGCATCAAATCCTACGGTCCAAGGACGCCAGGTGGTCCCCATAGGAAAGATTCAAAGGCGGATTTGAAATCCGAAATTGAACTCGAATTCACAAATCCCGCGGATTCCGAAAGTAAAAATAAAAACCAGAGGGATCCATCGCCCCACGATATTTTATTTTTTTAATGCAAAAAAATAAAATTCGAATAACTCTCTCTCTCTCTCTCTCTCACTCGCTTTCTCTCTCTAAAAGGAAAACCCTAACTTTCTCTCTCCAAACAAATTTTCCGCTTTCTCTCTCTTCGATTCGTGTGGTTCTGGGCCTTCAATGGTGTGAGATTAGGGCTAGAGCTGCGAGATTGTCAAGGATCTAGAGCAAAGAAACAGGTGAGGGGAGGAAAATGGCGTCGGCAGAGAAAGAGCTCGAGGCACAGCTTACGGAAGCTGGGAATCAGCTCTTGGAACCTCCGTCTTCCGTCGACGACCTCCTTGATGTTCTTGACGTAAGCCCTAATACCTCTAACAATTTTTTGGGTTTTCTTCTTCTCTTCGTATTCTGAAGTATTTGCGTCTCAGTTGCTTTCCTTCCGTGGGTTTTGTTTATTAAACTGAGTACTGTGTGATTATTTGTAAATTTAGTGAAATGGGGATTCAATGTTATTGTTCAGAAACCTTCTGATGTGGGATTCAAGTGGGTTTTAACATTTCCATTTTTTTTCTTATGATTTGTGCTAATTTTTTTCCGTTATTTATATCCTGGGCTGCATGTTCATGTGTTTGGTATTGCTTGGATTAAGCGTAGATTGGGGCAATACTTTCATATGCCATGCAGGAAGTTCTGGCTAGCTTTTCAAAGCTGGAATTTTGTGTTTTAATGAGGTTGAGAGCGAGGGGTTTGAGTCTCTAGCTCACTTTCCTTTTGAGCTTCTTAACTTCTCTAGTTCACTGTGCGGATAGCATGCGGGGTTAAGTCATTAATGACTGAGCTTAAAGAGAAAGACAACGATGCATATCTGCGATGGTTTATAAATGGTATTCTGCATTTAACAATTACCAAGTAAGCTATAATTTGTTAGAATGATAAAGGGTTTTAGGTGTTTTAAGGTTAGTCTTTATCGTATACAGCAAAGGAAGTTAAAATGATCTCCTGATATGTATATGAAGGTAAGTTATTAATGTTCACCATGACTAATAATTCAAATTGAAGGATGACATTTCAAGTTCAATTATGTTTCATTAATGCTTTTGAAGCTGGACATTTAGGATAGAGGAAAGCCATTTCATTTGTGATTTTTGTTCCCTGCTTGCTCAAGCAGAGATTTAGAAGGAGTATAATGGAAAGATTTTTGGTTGCTTTGAATTACTTTTTCCTAAAAAGGATAATGGTATACACAAGCTTGGCATTACATTTTCCTAAAAAGGTTTTCCTTACTCTTCATTTCTACCGTACTTCATGAAATTAAGTTTATGCTCGCGCGTGTGCTCACACACGCATTAAATTGTTATTTGTACCTTTCCTTAAACAAGGGCATTTATTTATTTTATTTTAAAGTTTGTTACTGTTGTTTGTATTCTTTCCGGTTAATGTAGTTTTTTAATAAACTCACCTGTCATGTTCATTTCTTCTCCCTCTGGTTTCTGATCTAGCTAATTCAAATTTGTCTACACAGTTTTGGCATAGATTGAATTGTAAAATTCTTCTTGTGCCAGATTGTTCTTTCCCTAATATTGTATTGTTCTTTTCGTGGTGATATTTTAGAGAGTTGAGAATTGTCTGTCGAAGGTAGAACAGTCACCTACAAAGTCAATGCAAACTGCGCTTTCTCCATCACAGAATGCATTGGTTGCTGAGGAACTTTTCAGGCATCCAAATCCCGATGTCAAAGTTGGTGTTGCAGCTTGCATCAGTGAGATAACAAGAATAACTGCACCTGATGCACCTTATGATGATGAGCAAATGAAGGTAACTGGGATTTAGATCACTAAACTGATTATTTATTTGTAGAGTCTGCTCATGTTACATTTAGAAAAAATTCATTAAACCTTCTAAATTTTATGCATGCAGGAAGTCTTTCATCTTATTGTATCTTCCTTTGAAAATCTACATGACAAGTCTAGCCGATCATACGCAAAGAGGGCTTCGATTCTTGAAACTGTTGCGAAGGTCAGATCGTGTGTGGTGATGTTGGATCTTGAATGTGATGCATTGATCGTTGAAATGTTCCAGCATTTCCTTAAGGCAATAAGGTACAAAGTCATAAGTAGAGTTGGAGTCACCACTTTATGTGTGTATAGACTATAGATACTATATTTATTATTTGTTTCCACTTGTGGAGTAAAACTTGCAAGCTGATATGTTATAGAAAACGCAACATTATATATCTGTATTTTTATATGTTCCAGGGATTATCACCCAGAGAATGTTTTCTCATCCATGGAGACTATTATGACTCTTGTTTTAGAAGAAAGTGAAGAAGTTTCTGCTGAGCTACTATCTCCCTTATTAGCTAGTGTGAAAAACGACAATGAGGTGAATAATTGTTTTTGATTGACCATTAGTACTTTCTACATCCTGTTTTATTTGTCAACTTACTAACCATTTTTTTCTTTGCAGGATATTCTACCAATTGGACGAAAGTTGGGGGAGAGAGTACTTGAAAGCTGTGCCACTAAACTTAAGGATGACCTGGTAAAAGAAGTAAAAAGCTTGGGCATTGTTTTTGATGATTATAGTAAAGTTGTAGCCTCGATCTGCCAAGAGGCAAGTGATGATGCTGAGCAGAATGAAGGCCGTGATGCTGATGGAAATGTGGTAAGATGTTCATTTGCAAGATTAAGACATTTTATACGCATTTCTTTTGTTCATAATGATAATTGTGTAAAACTTCATAGTTTTCTGTTTCCTCAACAAGGTTATCTTTTTTATCCCTGATCCACTCTCTCATTCCTTAACTCGTTCAAAGGTTTCTTTTGTTCATAATGATAATTGTGTAAAACTTCATAGTTTTCTGTTTCCTCAACAAGGTTATCTTTTTGATCCCTGATCCACTCTCTCATTCCTTAACTTGTTCAAAGGTATTGGTGTTTATTAATTTTTTTTTTCATTTTCTTCTCTTGGGGGGGGTGGGGGTTGGTCTGGTTACTTTGGTTGTTCTTTCATCCACAGTCAAACAGCCCGTAGTTGGCTGGTGATAACATTACATTGATTTGTCTTTGCGAACCAAGTCAGCAACTTGGGATTCCTCTCCTCTGCTGTACAACTTGTATTAACTTTTGCTACTGCAGGCTGCCGAGGAGAAATCAGCAATTAGGGAATCTTCCGATGAGGCAGCCCAGGTGAGTTTCTTCTGTCAATTTCTTCCTTTACGTACTTTATGCTTCTATTAGGCAGAAATTATATTTGATTGAAGTGGGTTATTTCACAAGTTCTCTTTATTTTGCAGGTAGATAAAGAAAAGGCAGAAGCGCCAGTTTCTCCTGAACGAATTGATCCAGCTGTTGACAGATCTTCAAAGTTAGTTGTGAACAATGGTAATGCAGAGACTGGCGAAGATGATTCTGTAGCTGAGTCGAATGCCTTGAAGAAGGAAGAGGAGGGCGACAATACCGAGGATCAGAAAGATCCAAACGCATCAAGCAATGGTGAACCTGATAGTTTGGAGACTGAGAAAGCTGCTGATGCAGAACAAATTCCAGAAAAAGCTACCAAAGAAGGAGCAGGGAATTCTGATTTGTCAACAAAATCAACACAACCTTCAGAAAATTGTCAAGCTGATAATGAGGAGGATACTGAGACACAGCCAGAACATAAGAGTAAAACAGAAGATGTTCCCAGCTCACCTCATGAGGATCCTTCTGTGGAGGCAGCTGTGCAATCGGAGAATGAGAAAGTATCTGATGTTAACCTCTCTTCAAAGCTATTGGAAAAGGAACCTGCTGGTGTTGCTTCTCCATCCCCAAGTGAGAGCCTTCCTGATGTAAGTCGCTCCAAAAAGGCTGGAAGGAATAAGAAGAAAGATAGTTCTAATAAGGGGGCTGCACAATTTGCAGATGATGAACACCAAAAGGTTACTGATGGAACCAGTGATTCAGAATTAAAAACAAGTAGACGCTCTGGGAAAAAGGCGTCTGCTGGGGTTTCTAATGAGAATAAAAGTCCAACTGTGATGGAGACATCTAGAAAGGAAAGTGCCACCACAAGCGATTCAGAGGCAAAACAGAAGTCAGCTAAGAAGGTAGATGGGAGCACTAAAACTAGGGATGGGTCTCCTATAAAGCAAGCAGTAGATAAGAGAAAGCGGGGTCGTGGAAAAGTTACCCCGGCAAAGGCTGCAACAAAATCTTCAGCTAAGGATGATGACAAAGTACTTTCCTTTGGCACTTTCAGCTATTCCTTGGGCACTGCCAATCGTTTTTATTGTTAAATACAGTTTTAATAAAATTACTGTTGTTATTTAGGAGATGTTGTCAACACCAAAGTCAGCCCCAAAATTAACTAAGGATGAATCTCCCCTGGAGGAGACCCCTAAGACCAATTCAAAGAGGAAGCGTGCTTCAGGAAAAGAGAAGGTATGTATGCTTTGGTCTATGCTACAATTTGTATGTTTTGTTAAAAGAATTGTGTGCTTTCCCCTTGATGTTAAGGTTTACTGTTTGTGAACACTAGTGCATATGGCGTTCTTCACCTTTTCCAAGATTTTGGAATATTATTGTTAGTTTTGTTCATTGTGTAGTAGTGGACTTAGGGTGATCAGATATCTATGATTATGCCTTCTCTTATATTACTGTTTTCTTCCTATTTAGGAATCTGGTGACAAAGATCATGGTGAGGAGATGGTTGGATCAAAGATTAAAGTTTGGTGGCCAAAAGATCGTACGTAAGTACTGACCTTGCGTTCAGTATTTCCTCAATTTATTTCTTGCCATGCTGCGGGAGTCTACACATGAATGTTTGGATTTCTAAGTTTGGTTCTTTTTTGTTTTATATATCTAAAATTATTTGGCCTCAAGTTTGCATTTAAAAAAATAGTAACTAAGTTGCACTATCTGTGTGATTCTACACAACTTAAGTTGCACTATGTTTTTGCAATACATGCATCATTCTGCATCTAAACTTGTGTTACCTAGGTGTCAGTTGATGAGTGCAGCATCTTTCTGGAAGCCTTTTAGGGTGTTTGGAAGTTGGCACATATTAGAGTCTAAGTTGTGCAGTAGAGATGTTCTGCCTTTTTAGCAACCTGTGATGACTTCAGCCTTCATTTCCTTTAATTCTCATCTATTTTCATTTTCTAGGGGGAGTGGGGATACATGATATCTTGCTAAAGTTTCATTGTAAAATTGGGTTGTTAAACTACTGCTAGAACTTTTGAATTTTTCCAGAACTATTTATTTTTATTTTTAAAGAACTAGATTAAGGAATTTGTTTATGGTTGTAAAACGTGAATTTTTAGTTTGTCATTTAATGTTTTATTGACAATTTTACAGGTTTTATGAAGGTGTTGTCACATACTTTGATTCTGCTAAAAAGAAGCATAAGGTGAGATGCCAACTATGGAAGTCCCCATCCTTATTTTGTACACCTTATTCATTTATGCTTAATTGAATTAATTGCTAAAAAGGATCATTCTGTTTCATTTTATTTTGTTTTAAAATGAAACTTTATTTACTTAAATTCTTTGTACTTGGTCCATTCTTTCATAGGTATCATATACTGATGGTGATGTTGAAACACTAAATCTTAAAAAAGAGAGGTGGGAGTTTGTAGCAGATGACCCTGACTCGGATGAGGTAAAGTCACTGCCATTCTTTTGCTACATTAAAACATTCCATACTCAATTTTTGTGCTGAGACATTTCTGTTGACAGGAGCAAGGTACTGATCAATTGAGTCATGATGCTTCTTCTGACGTGTACGTATTATTTACTTTTGATGTGTACTTTACATATACGACTTTAACATTAGTCTTTAAACTAGTTTCTGGATTATTGTCTGCATCATGCCTTAGGTTGAATATCATATCCAGATTATGTTATCACATCTTTGTATCCTACTGAATTTCTGATGATTGTCACCCTTTGTGTACTTAGTTTGTTAACATGTCATGGACTTGTATTGAATTTTTTTTTCTATTTGATGATTAATCATTGTTTAGAATTTAACATAAAATCCGCAATACCGGAGTTTTCAATTCCTGGAGTGGTCTGTAAAGTTTTGCTTCAATTATTTTGCATGTTTGTTTTTTGAGAGTTGTGATCATATCCTCTTTAATGTTTTGCTGCGCAACCAGGCCTTTGAAGAAGAAGGTGAAAAAAACTCCTGATGACTCAACTAAGAAGGAAAAGATGGACACTTCGCCCAAATTGTGAGTGCGATTTTTGTTACTTAAAGTTGATGCCATTATATCTGTAGTTTTCTAACTTCCAAGTCAATCTTATAGGGGTGGAGGAGCTTCCTCCAGCAAATCGAAAGGTGCAACAGCTAAGTTTGGATCGCAAATCGAAAGAAAGCAGTAAAGCTGATAGCAAATCCAAAGGTGGTTCTGGAAAATCAGATGATGAACGTATTGGAAAATTAAAGGATCACACTCCAAAAAGTAGTGGTAAATCGGTTGATGTTGCTCAGAAGACATCCAGTAAATCGAAGAACAATGATACCCAGACGCCTAAAAGCACCAAATCCAAGGAAGATGACAGCACCGCACAAAAAGCTTCCACCAAGTCCAAGCAAGACACACAGAAGGCTGGGAAGTCAAATCAGAGCACATTAAAGACTGCCTCCGTTTCCAAAGGTAAATCGTCTGCTAGCAGCGGGAAAGCAAACGCCAACGGTACAGGCAAGGCAAAAGCAGCTTCAAAACCGACTAAAGAAGATGAGGATATGAAGGAAGCCTCAAGTGATTCTGAGAAAGCGCCAGAAAGCACACCAAAGGGGAAGTCCCCAACTTTAGCCAAGGTACTTGCAAGCGAGACCAAGTCTGGTAAGAAGCGGCGAAGAGGAAGCAAAAGTTAATCGTCTAGTCTCGCCTGTGACTGTGAGTTAGTTTTTCCATCATTATTGGAATGATTCCCAGATTTGTGGCTAGAATTGTTATATTTGCGTTCGATAGGGGTAACGTAGTTTTCTGTTTATGTCGATGTTCTAGACGGAATTAATGGCAGACGGTAGAGAAACGTTCGAGCTAGTTCCATTTCATCTTCCTCTACTGACCGTCTCATCTTTTAATCGCTTTTTTAAGCTTCCGTTGGCGAGCTCCAGCCTCCATTGCTGGTCAGAGTTTGATGTTGGTCTGAGATTTTGTGGTTTTATTTGTAAATTATGATGGCCAATCCAATTCGCCTAGTAGTATTCGTCGGATGTTGGTTTAGGCAGAGTTTCTGCATTTTTTCGCTTAAAGTTTGAATCTGCTGTGCATGGAATATATATATCTTCTTACCGTAGATATTCTTAAGTTCGGGTGCCCGTACAAGGATTTACATGTAGCGCTTCGTGCCAATAATAACATGATAAACAACATTTGTGATGTATTTGTGTTGTGTGTCATGTAAGTTGGTCTTCCATACAAAGAGTGGGATGCGGTGCTTTTTGTGCGGTTAGACGACATGCAGTTTGGACGCTTGCATGTAAGAATTAGGAAAACTAATGAAAAATGATTGAAAGTTTTAAGTTTTAACGATAAGGACAAAATAATGGGTAAAGTGAATAGTAGCATGATTGATTTTTTAGTATAAAAATATGGTTTTTCGTTAAAGTAAACAGTACCGCAGATTTTTCGTTTTTTCGTTAAAACTTCCGTAAGAATTTCTTCTTCTTCCTTATTAGACTGCATCTGAATTTCATTGCATAAATAAAGCGCGTTACAATTGCAAATCAAACCGAAAGGATGAACGAGTTTGGGCCTCTAACGGTCGCATCTAATCTGTATAGTGCAAGTTGGACATTTCATGCTGTAAATAAAATGCAAACATTTTTTTTAAAGAACTTTAAGGAAAAGCTTCTGGTACTGTTCATTTTAACGAAAAATCGTATTTTTACACTAAAAAATCAATCATAGTACTATTCACTTTACATTTATTTTGTCCTTATCGTTAAAACTCAAAGTTTTCAAGCTCTTTTCATTAGTTTTCTCCTTTTTTTTTAAGGAAACAAACGGGTAGTTTTAAAGAGATCACCTATTTAAATTATATGAAAGTGGTTGTTGATAATTAGATTACTACTCAAGTATTGATTTACGTGCTTACTTTTTATTAGTCACATCATATGGTTTACAATCACCTTTGGTAGAGAAGTTTTTATTTTTTAAATTAGAAGGTGTTAGAATCACCTTTGGGTGAAAAAAATTAAAAAAAAAAACATGTAAAATGTAGTTTGCATGAATTTACTTTGCGGCCCATAATTTTATTTGTGGTAGAAAAGTAAATTATCTTTTCACCCTCTTTAGTTTACAAAGAAAATTTTATTAATATGTAGTTTTAGATAATTAAGGATTTTGACCTTTCATGCTCCACCCCACAAAACCCAAGAAAAAACAATAGACTTTTTTTTTTTTTTGTCAAACGATAGATTTTGTTAAATTAGATGTTAGGTTAGCCATAGACGAGATTTGAACCCACGTTATCATATAAGGGTTTAACCCGCTTCACAATAGTAGTAAAGGTAACTTGAAAAACAAGAGAGAAATTGACTCTAGTATTTTGTTTGGGCTTTTGCTTATTACTCTTTTGTGCCATCATAGCAAGTTCAAACTCCATCTTCTTATATAAGAACCCATGTCAAGTTGCCATACTATTTGCCTACTTTATCAAAGTTTATGCCACTCGCACGTTTACTTTCTCCATGTACTAAGGTCAAATATTCATGTTTAGGTCACGCAATTCTTTCATGTACTAATATGCATATTGGGAGCAAATTTGCTTTTAAGATTGAGAATATATTCTCGTGTTCATGGAACTTGATTTCTTCATATGTTAACTAACGTATTGAGAGAAAAGTAGCACTTAAATCAGGAGTATATCCCCTTGTGTTTGGTACTGGGACAAAATCAGCTCTTTGGAGTTTATACCCTTGTCCTTGTGTTCATATGTTAACTCTTAAGTATTGAGAGAAAATTTGCTGAGCCAAATTGTCCATGAGATTGATATAACTTTTCACTTTGGTCATTGAGATTTAAAATCGATAGAAGTAGTCATTGAGTTTGTTCATCGATAATCATTTTGGTCATTTAAATATTCTCAATTTTTTAACAGATATTTTTTTACATAAGGACCAAAATGATTGATGTAGACAAATTCAATGACCACTTCTATCACCGACCAAAACGAGGAGTTATTCCAATTTAAGGGATCATTTTAGCTAAAAAAACTTATATTCTTTTATGTTTTCTCTTTAGTTTCTTCATATGCTAACTTACGTATTAAGAATAAAATCTGCTATTCAATAAAGGATATATCCCTTTGTGTTTATGTCATTGGTTTCTTCATACTTTGAATGCTCTACTCCTACTTGGAGAAATTATTGATTGGAAAGGCCTTATAACTTCAATGTGCATTGTAACGATATCCCCACATGCGCACAACATCTACTGGTCATCTATTTGTCCCCCACTTAAGGTAGTAGTTTTTGGGAAATTAGTAGCTTGCAAATTGTTGGTGCTTGTGGAAACTTAAATTCTCAAGTCCCCGTCGCCAGATGCTGTGTATTTCTGGCTCTCTTATCCCTGCACCTGACAATTTTGGCCAAATGTTACTGCAAAGGTGCAATGTATATGGGTCAAATCATTTTCCTAAGGATCTTACGGATTTTGTGATCGTTACCGTTCATTATACATCGTGCAGTTAAAAATCATTTTCAATTTTAAATTTAATATAAATAGTACTTAATGATAACTAACCACACAATGTACGATGAACGGCCACGATCACATAATCCTTAGAATCCCTAGAAAAAGAATCCGGTAAGGATCATTTTCCATGTATCTGTTACCAAAAAAAAAAAAGGTGCAATGTACCTTTAAAGAAAGGGCCACAAAACACTTGAAGAGATGGTTCATGTATCAAAAGTGACTTTCCTTTTGTCATCAGTCAAATCTTTATGTTCTTTAATTCAAAACACAATTTGTATGTCACGAATACACAACTTCTCGTGACATGAAACTGGTAGGCTCTTTACAAACACTGTATGCTGATAGACTCTCTACAGACAATGTATGCATCTAGCCCTAGTTTCAACCACCAAAATAGCTCACACCACAAATGAATCTTAAAATATATCCAAAACCTTATTGGCTTATATGTTTTTCCAACTAATTTTCTTTCCAAAATATGAATACTAGCATGAGCGTTCGCACTAATGTAAAAAGCGCAATAATGATAACCCTAGTTATCTTCAATCTTAGCATGCAGATCGGATACTTTGCATTTCTCCGCATGGGTATAGGTATTGGAATGTATCACACAATTGATAATATGAGGAGTAGCTCAACTTCTTATAAGTTGTTACATGGTTTGGTCTCTCATCGACGTGGGATTTTGTCCTCACATTCTCACGCGCCCCTCATGTGAGGTGAACTTTCAAGTTTAACGCGTAGACAATACAAATTGAGTGACGTGGAGTATATGTGACTGTTAGATTTCACAAGTGGGCCAACCTGCTCTAATACCATGAAAAAAATTGAGGTTTTGCCATAAAACTAATTGGTAATATGGGGGAAGTAGCTCAACTCTTTATAAGCTCTTACATTATTAATTATTTGATCCCTCACCGATGTGGGACTTTATCATCATATTCTCACAAAATAACAGTATGGTGTGTATAGAAAGAGATCAATCAACAACTTTGTTGGGTACTTAACTTTGTTATTATTATAAGGGAAATGAAACTACTTTGTTATTATTATAAGGGAAATGAAACTAACACAGTATTTTTCTCCTTTTGCACACTTTTGCTAATTTCTTTCTTGACCTCTCTTTGATTTTTTAAATTTAAAATCCAAAAAAGAGAGGTGTGTAGATAAAGAAATGGAGGTGTAAAATTAAACAAAGATTAGATCCTAAGTGATCGTGGTCATGGTCGCATTTTAATATTTTCACGTACGTACGAAGGAGGAACCATTAGAACTAAACAAAGATTAAGGATTCCATATGAAGGTTAAGGGTTACACTTGCATCTGCACATTGCATTGACTGTTGACACATGGGGTTGGGTTGCAAGTCGCACTTTGTAAAGATTCCTAGACAAATATTAGCCATCAACTGTGGGGATGAAATTGGGAAACAAAAGGTTTCTTAATTATATATCTTTTATCTGTCCTATTTTGATTTGATTCTGTGTGTGTGTGTGTGTGTGTGTAAACAATATAAGTTTAGGTATTCACAGTTGACTTGAATGATAATTTGAGGGTGGGGATGGGTAGTGATAGATTATGCTATGCTTTCCTTGGAACAAAAGGAGATCCTCACACATGTTACAAGTCACAACACATATCAATATTAATGGTTATTGTTTTTCCTTATTCAGTAATGGTTATCTTTAGGATCGAAGTAGAAATTGATTAGACGCATTCCTTTTTTACGAAAATGATATCCGCACTTTTTTTTTGTTGATAACGAAGCATAAACAAAACAAAAAAAGATTACATAAGAATATCATGAGGTCACAAGATCTTTGCTATATATCACATTATTTTTCTTCTTTTACCCATATATAAGATTACATATGAATATTACGAGGTCACGAGACCCTAGCTATACTCATATACAAAAGCATAGTTGATTTGTTGTAGTATTTGACCTTTACTAGGCCATATGTTGCTTTTGCGATTAATTCAGTTTGCCAATTCATAACTTCACCAACTGCAATTCATTTTGGAGCTGTCAAGAAAATCCTTAGGTACCTTCAAGGCACAATCCATAGTGTTATTGTGTCTTCTGCAGATATAGTGGCCAATCTCACTACATTTTTAGATTCTGAGTGGGCTACAGATCTTAACACTAGAAGGTCAGTCACAAATTATGTGGTTTTTCTGGGTAACATTTCAAATTCTTGGCAGTCTAAGAAGCAAAGTTCAATTTCAATAAGTAACCATTGAGGTAGAATAAAAGGCTCTAGCTCATACTACTGTTGATATTGCTTGGGTTAGGTGCATTATGAAGGATTTGGGTGTTGTTTTGTCCAATCCACCAATCATTCATAGTGACAACATGTATGCCATAATATTAAGTGCAAATCCAATGTTTCATTCATGAATCAAACACCTAATCAAAATTATTACTTTGTGAAAGAGAGAGTTCAAAAAGGAGACTTGGAAGTGACCTACATTCCCACTGATGATCAAGCAGCATATGTGTTAACTGAGGGTCTTCATAGTCCTTGTTATAGAATTAG